TTGTCTCTTGCAAGCAATCATTGGAATTGGTTCTTGGATTCTTGTTCATAGTTTTTGTTTTGTTTTTGAGTGTGTTAGTTTATTTAATCTGTTGCGAGTTTGGTATAACAAGGTTTCAAAATCATTTGGTTATTATCTCAATTCTCAATGGGCATATTGAGACCCACAATCGGCCTAAATTGGGCTTTCCCATTGTGTAGGCTTGCTCAATATTTTCTTACTTTTGTTCGTAAGGCCCAATTTAACCCATTACGTTCCCGTATGCAGCCCGTTTCTCGTGCGTACACTCAACCCTGTATCTTACTTTCTTTAAATGTTTGTTATAGATTGCTCCTCAGGCAATCAGGTAAGTGTGATTTCTGTGAATTCTTCATCAAGTCTGCTGCTTTTTCTTCTTTCTTCCAATTGTAAGTTATGTATCTGTTATCATTCCACAACTATGTGTAAGCATAATATAGATTGGAAGTTAAATATATCTTGCAATGATTGTAAGAATTCTTTAATGTCATGGAGAGTATTCAAGCTGAAGTTTTTGTGGAATCGTTTAACTATTGGTTGTTATTAGCAATAAGTAAGAAGGACATTGCAATAGCATTCTTAGCTTAAGTTTTGATCTGCTAATTACCTTACTTTTCATGAAAGCATGATTGTGCCCTGTGAGATTTTTAATCAAAAGCTAAATTTTCCTCTGCCTTAGATTGGTAATTTTGAGGTGTTACTGTTATGTGTAGCAATATTATGCAATGGAAGGTAAACTTGTGCATTTTAATATTGTCACATCTTTGCAATGATCATAAACATTTTTCAAGTTTCTGGTGGTGCTAGTTTCTCCACTGTTGTTTATAGTTGAGTTCTTAACCTATGTTCTTCCAAGCAAGTTTGCCTTGAGCTAAATGTAGCACCTGTGGGATTTACAATTGAAAGGTACACAGTAAGATGAAGGCAACAGAGATTCTTAGTGACTTACTGGGAATGGATGCTAATATGTTACATAAATGTACTTAAATCCTTTGGGTCTCAATTGACATTACAAAAGGCTTGTTGTAAGTGCAATGCCTTTTGTGCCATGGTGCAGGTGGGAGCTAAGCACAATGATAATATCTATATTAAGATAAAGTGGATGAGGCAAATGTGAATTTTGTTGGTGGATATTTCATGGTGGTCTAATCATAAGTGACAGAAGATTGGATGAAAGAAACAGATTAAGATTTGAGCCTATGAGTGATAAAAGGTATTAGTAAATTAGTCCCTCTCATGGATCGCGTCAGATATCGAATTTATTTTATGTCAAGTCCTCATCATTATTCCGACATTTTTTTTTGTCATCAATGATGATTGTGGTTAACTATTTAACTCTATAAGTGTAAAAGAATATACATACATATATATATATATATATATATATATATATATATATATATATATATATATATATTAGCATTTATCTCTATATCCCTTGCTCCAAGATAAACTGGATTGTTGGATTAATAATAATAATAATAGTCTATAATAATAATTATAGAAGATTGGATTTTGGAAATAATTATTACATAAGTAATTGGGAGGCAGTCAACCTCATTCCTTTCATGTTGTAGAACAGACCACTTCAAAACCATTAAGAAGCTTCATGTGTAAGAATCTTCATACAAAGTCAAACTAACATGTAAGCTCAAAAGGTTTAGATGTGATAATTAAATGTGTATTTCAAGATTCGTTAATTACCTTTAGCTCTTGTAGTAGAGTTTATAATCATTTGCATCACTAGTATTTCAGATTTATGCACACTATCTTCACTCATTCTCAACTCGTTTTTTTTCTGCCTAGCCATGCTTGATATGCGTTTTATATTTTGATATTAGTTGTTCCGTCTTTGCAGCGATTCTGTGCAGGAGTCGTAGAACTGATAGAACTTGCAAGTTCATCAACAATATTGGGAAGATACTCTTTTTTCTTGATGATTGAATAATAACGTCCCAATTCTTTTTGTCGACACACGTATGACTCAATTTTGGGAAGACAGACATTAATGAAATGAATATATGGAAGGAAGTGAGAAAAGTAGAATTCATGAATTTAAATAAGACAAGTAATCTAAGCAAAATCGTGCACTTATTTTATGTTAATGAACCATTGCAATGTGAACATAAAACATAAAAGGATAGGATACTTTCGGATGCTCAGGAAGTTGGCATGTATAGATTGATTGTCTCCAGATTGAAATGTGGCTTGCTATAATTAACAGGTGTTGTCATATATATATATAAAGGATACTTTCGGATGCTCACGAAGTTGGCATGTATAGATTGATTGTCTCGGATAATCCGTTTTTTTTTTACATGAGGATCATCGATAATAGTCGATCGGCAAGGTTGCTACTGTTTGGATTGTCAAACAAACGATAAGATAGTGGAGGATAATTGACGAGGTAAAAATATAATGAAACGCATATAAAAGTAGAGTAAAAAGCGATGATCGATAGAAGAAAACTGAATATTAAAAAAATTAATTTTTTTTAATTTAGGCAGTATCATAAGAAAATTTGAATGTAGAAGTTTTTTTTTAAAAAGAATTCGTCGGATGATCAAATCACTTTTCTCATGTAAAGCGTGTTTTCTTATGGAGAGACAAAATTATATAAATATTTTGTCGATCACTTTATCCATATTTGTGATATAAATAAATTATTCCTGCAGTTTTGTATTTCTTGTGCATAGCGAAGCTTATACACACTATATATAGGAATTAGGTTACCCATTTCAGTTCTCTTTCTTCTCCCACGATGGCGGCTGCGACGCTGCGCTCCGTACTCCGCCGCAATCGCCTCCTTCCCTTGTTCGAAACCTGCCGCCTTCGAGATCGCCTCTTCTTCTCCTCCTCTGTCGACGCTGCCGCCGTCACCGTAGGTGGCACCATGTCTCCAGATCCCCACTTCATGGTGGAATACCTCGTGAACTCCTGCGGGTTCTCCCCCTCCGAGGCAGCCAAGTTCTCTAAATCCCTTGCGCACCTCCGATCCACCGAGAAACCCGACGACGTCCTTAACTTCATGAGATCTCAGGGCTTCGACGGCGCCGGTATCAGGAAGGTGATATCTGCGGATCCCAGATACTTATGCTACAACGTGGAGAAGAACCTCGCCCCGAAGTTTCAGTTCTTACGCGATTTGGGCCTATCGGAGTCGGATATCGTCGATGCCATCCTGAAGAACAATGGCATCCTCCACTACAACGTTCACCGTTACTTGGTCCCCAAATTGGAGATGTGGGAAAGTCTCTTGGGATCGAGAGAGCTCGTTCTCAAGCATCTCAAGAAGTCAAGATGGTTTTTCTTCTCCAGCGTTGAGAAGACTTTGCAGCCTAACCTAAAGTTCTTGAGGGATGAGTGCGGCATTCCTGAAGAAAGGGTCTCTGTCGTCTTGAGAAGTGACCCAAAATTCATCTCACAGAAACCAGAGTCTCTCCGAGCTTTGGTGGCGAGAGCCGATGAGCTGGGGATGCCACGGCAATCTCGGATGTTCGTGCGGACACTTGTTGCTCTCCACAACGTAAGCAAAGAAAGGTTCGAGGCCAAGGTCGAGCTCATGAGGAGCTTCGGGTGGTCGGAGTCGGAGTTTTCTTCTGCAGTCAGGAAATCACCCACCTTCTTAGGTATCTCCCTCGATATGTTTCGCAGAAAAGTGGAATTTTTTATCAATGTGGTCGGTTACACCCCTTCCTTCATCGCCTCCCAACCATCTATCTTGCTATTTAGTCTGCAGAAGAGGGTAATTCTTCGGTTTCGTGTCACAGAGATGTTGAAATCGAAAGGATTGTGGACTGGACAAGCCAAGTTTACTTCGATTCTCTTTTTCTCAGATACCAAATTCATGGAGAAGTTTGTTCTCCCACACAAAGAAAATGTTCCTGAGCTGCTTGATATTTTGAGATTTGCTGGCACCTGTAAAGGAAATGATACCTTGCATTTGGCATCGGAGGATGAGGAAGGGCTTAGCTGATGGTCTAATTTGTGACGACGAAGGTAGATTATTTCCCTAATTTGACATTTGGGTATTTTCTGCAAAGGGCTTATCTAAAGGTCCATTGTGGTGTGGGAATTTTCTTTTATGACAAGCTAGCTAGATTAACATTGATTATAAATCAAATTTGTTCTGTCTTACTGATTGCTAGCTTAAATTATTTTCTGATTGTCTTTGGCATAGTATTGTTGCTTTGTACGTTAGCTGCATGTTTTAAAAATTCTACATAACAGTCCAACTGAGATTACCTTTGGATCTATCGAAGGGACTTTTGGCTTTTGTCCAAATTAATCCAATTCCAGATTGGTTTTTGTTTGGGTTAGTCTTGAAGAGTCATATTTCAGATCAAGTTATGCTGTAAGTATATACAAAATATCACCAAAGATCACAGGAAGTTGCTGCGTAGTAATTGCTCTAACGATTTAAGTGGCTGAAAAACACTTAAACTTCTTTGCAAACTTATGTATTTATGTACTAATTGGATTATTCAAATTTGATTGATTCATTGTAATATTAGTATGCAGTGGCTTCAATGGAATTTGAAAGACCAGTTGCACTGGGTTGATCAGGAGTCACCAGCTCTTCTGAAACGTCTTCAACCTCCTTTGGAATTGCTAAAGCTTTTCTCGCATCAACAAACTCTTGCATGCCTCCATAGGCTTCTGCTCGTCCACTCTTTGTGATTCCAGGTGCAGATCTCTTCATTCTTGGATTTGGTGGATGCAATTTCTCATCATCATAGCTGAAGCTTTTGCTCCACTTGAAAGCCTTCAGAAGGCTGCACAACTAAATTTCTCTAACATCTTTATCGAACTAATTGCCTTGAGTTAGTCAATTCGCTGGTTCCTTAAGAATATTTTGGATGTCATTTTATTTCTTATTTCAAGTCTTCATGTTGTCGATGTGGTCCATGTTTCCCGCATCATGAACCGCGTGGCCCATTGTCTAGTCAATCTTGGAAGGGCTGTAAATTCTCTGTTTTTTTGGGTCTTGTAATGATAGATCAGTCTATCTCAGTATCTAATCCGCTTTAATCTTTATTGAAATTTCTCCTTTTTTGGTGAAAAAAAACTCTAGCATGCAAACTAACATGTAAGCTCAGAAGGTTTAAAAGTGACAATTAAATGTTTATTGCAAGATTCTGTAATTGGCTTTAGTTCTTGTTGTAGAGTTTATGATCATTTACATCACTAGTATTTCTGATTTTTATGCACGCTATCTTGACCCGTTCTCAACCAGTATTTTTTTGGCTATCGATGTCTTTGTGCATGTATTCAGTATCTCATTTCAGATTGGGTCATAAGATCATCATCATCTTTATCAATGCGTGAAATGTGTTTTGGATTTTGATATCATTTGTTCCATCTTTATTCTTTATTCTTTGTCTTGGATAATAATGTCTCAAATCCATAATTTTGATATAAATAATTTATCCATAATTTTGATATAAATAATTTATTACAGTAATTTTTATTCCTATGCATAGTGAAGGACAACTGTTTGAATTATGATACCCGGATGCTCTCCTTTATCTAGTCACAATGCTCGGCTCCTCTCTTTTTCTTTTATTTTATCGTCGATTGATTAAAATTATGTTAGGTGTTGTATTGTATCTGACCATATAAATTGAATTATGTTGAATCATGAGTTGAATTATACTTAACTATATGAATTACGTAATACTTAGTCACATTAGTTAGGTTGTGATTGACTACATAGATTGATTTGATAAATCAACTTATATTAAATCAATAATTTAACTCATATTATTAAATTATATCATAATATTTTTTAAAAATACTTTAAAATAATAACTAACCTTAAATCTATTCTTTTTCAAGAATTAACTAATTTAGATTGATAATTTTAAATTTAAAACTAATTAAATTGTACAAATTCATACAAAATTTTTTTAAACATAAATATGTCTAATTAAATAAATTAAAATTATTATTAAATTAACTAATTATTTTAACATCATAATTTCATAATCATTATTTATTAATCATAATATTTTAAAATTAAAACATTATTTTGCATCATATTAATTAAAAAAATTCTACTATTAAATATTTTAAAATATAAATAAAAATGATAATAAAGAAAATAAAGAATCCTACTCGTCCTTGCAATCCTATCATCAAAATTTTTTTTTTCTTAATCCTTCGTCCAACTTCTAAGAGAGGGGAATTAACGAGGAATAGTAGAAGACGAGAGGGGAATTAACGAGGAATAGTAGAAGACGAACTCTTCTCGATAGATAAATAATATTTTTTATTTTACTTTCATACAAAAATGGATTGTAATATTAATTTTACATTGTCCACACACAAAAATAAAATTTAAAATATTTGCTTTTTAAGAATCATATCAGAAAATAAATCAATTAATAATTTAATAAATCAATAAAATTCTTAATTTGTTCAAATAATAAAAAATAATTTTAATTAGTTTAAAGTATATTAAATAAATAAATTAAAATAATAATATATGATTTATAATAATTAATTGATGTTAAGAAAAAAAAATCTATGATTACAAAAATCTTGAAGTTTCAGAACACCTAACATCTATAAAAGGGAAGAGTTGAGCTGAACCATTACGAGAAAAAAAAAAAAGTTCAAAAGTGGTGCAGAAACAAACATAATAGCCACGCAAAAATGGTTACTGGTTCAAGTAAAAGACATGTGATTAAGTAATTTAACTTTTAATCCACAACGCCAAGCTGAATCACTACATAATAAGAGTCGCCAGAAATCCACAGTTGTTAAAATAAGTTGCTATAAAAAATAAAAATCAGACACGAAGTAACTTCAGCTTATCAAAAAGAAAAATGAAAATGAGAAGCAGAGAGGTCATCTTTTCCCCCTCGACATCAACTCCATACGTTGCAGGGAACTCCAAGATATCATTGTCTAAATATCATCGATAAATATCACACATATATATATATATATATATATATATATATATATATATATATATATATATATATATATATATATATAATTTATTTATACATCAAAATAAAAGTTAAAAATAATCATAGGTTTTATTCATAAACATAATAATATAAATTCAAAAATAAACATTCAACTTCAAGTCTAAGGTTAGCTTTCAAAAAAATAATAACCGAAAAAATTTTCAGAGTCCCCTTCAATCTATTTAAATTTATTAGATTAGATTTCGCTCAATCAAACACAAATGAGATAAATTAAAGATAATAAGTTAGATTGCATAGTAATATAATAGGTTAAGTTAGTCAATATGCTAATCATTTGCATTGTACATGATCATGCATATAACATACTAAGCTACGTAGTATATGAACTAATCATGTATACTACATATGATTATCCATGTTGAGCCGGATTAAGTGATTAACCAAGCTTAGCATGTTCGTTGGGTCTAGTCTACGGGTTGTAGTTTAGCTTATGAGTAGAGCCTGACTTACTAAATAGATTTTAACTTAAATCATAATTATTTTTTTAATTTTAAATTATAGCATCATCAAATTATAATCAAAACACCAAACTATTATAATTGAGTAATTAAAATATAATAAATATTAATAGATTAAAAATATAAATTTACATTAAAGGGAAAATAATATTTTTACTCAACTATTGTACAAATCTAATAGAAATTGAATATTACAACTAGTATGTTGCAAGATAAAAATTTTAAAAATGATTGTAGTATGAATAATTATAATATATTAAATCCAAAAAAATTTAAATATTTGGATGAATATAATAAAATTTTAGAAACTATATATAGCATGAATAAAAAAATAATAATAATAATAATATTTTTTAAAAAAATATACAAGCGCCTACCTCTCTTATTCTGATTTGAAGTAGTGAAAAACTAAGAAAAGGAAATCGCACCTATTAAATAAAAAGAGTCGAGCCTTCCAAGGTAATAAATATTTTAATTGTTATATTTATTTAATTAATAAAAATAATATCACTTAACTTAAAATATTGAATATTTATTTTATAATTTTTATTCATAAGAAAAGAAAGTAAGTAATTGTACTTAAACTGAATGATTTAAGGACAGATGAAACCTGTCAAATTAGTATTTTAAGATCATTTTATCCATATTTTTTATATAAATAATTTATTCCTATAATTTTATATTTCTTGTGCATACCGAAGGTTATACGCTCTTCGTATAAGGAGCGTGGTTGTAATTAGGGTGCCGCTGCGGCTGCTCTCTTGTCCCACAATGGCTGCTGCTCCGCTCCGCTCCGTACTCCGCCGCAATGGCCTTCTGCCCTTGTTCGAAACCTGCCGCCTTCGAGATCTCCTCTTCTTCTCCTCCTCTGTCGACCCTGCCGCCGCCGTAGGCGGCACCATATCTCCAGATCCCCACTTCATGGTGGAATACCTCGTGAACTCCTGCGGGTTCTCCCCCTCCGAGGCAGCCATGTTCTCTGAACCCCTTGCGCACCTCCGATCCACCGAGAAACCCGACGCCGTCCTTAACTTCATGAGATCTCAGGGCTTCGATGGCGCCGGTATCAGGAAGGTGATATCTGGGGATCCCAGATACTTATGCTGCAACGTGGAGAAGAACCTCACCCCGAAGTTTCAGTTCTTACGCGATTTGGGCCTATCGGAGTCGGACATCGTCGATGTCATCCGGAATAACGATGACATCCTCTGCCGCAACGTTCACCGTTCCTTCGGCCCCAAATTGGAGATATGGGAAAGTCTCTTGGGATCGAGAGAACTCGTTCTCAAGCATCTCAAGAAGTCAGGATGGTTTTTCTTCTCCAGCGTCGAGAAGACATTGCATCCTAACCTAAAGTTCTTGAGGGATGAGTGCGGCATTCCTGAAGAAAGGTTCTCTCTCGTCTTGAGAAGTCACCCACAATTAATCTCACAGAAACCAAAGTCACTCCGAGCTTTGGTGGCGAGAGCCGATGAGCTGGGGATGCCACGGCAATCTCGGATGTTCATGTGGACACTTGTTGTTTTCCACAACGTAAGCCAAGAAAGGTTCGAGGCCAAGGTCGAGCTCATGAGGAGCTTCGGGTGGTCGGAGTCGGAGTTTTCTTCTGCAGTCAGGAAAGCACCCACCTTCTTACGCGTGTCCGTCGACATGATGCGCAGAAAAATGGAATTTTTTATCAATATAGTCGGGTACACCCCTTCCTTCATCGCCTCCCAACCAACTATCTTGCTATATGGTCTGCAGAAGAGGGTAATTCCTCGGTTTCGTGTTTTGGAGATGTTGATTACGAAAGGCTTGGGGACTCGACTAGGCAAGTTTTCGTACTATGTGAAATTATCAAATACAAAATTCCGGGAGAAGATTGTTCTACCTTACAAAGAAAAGGTTCCTGAGCTTCTTGATATTTTGAGAGCAGGTGAGTGTGAAGGGAAATGAGCCCTTTTATTTGGTATCAGAGGAGGATGAGAAGGGCTTAGCTGATGGTCTAACTCACATTTGAATTTCTCAACAGGAGCTGAGCAGTGATTCGGCACCTTTTCCCTTGACAACAAGCTGTCTTACATCGACCACCAGCCTTGGCTACTGAGGTGCAGTCCAGTGAAAGAATTATTCCTTTGGTGCCATATGGTGGTAATGTTGTAATTGGAAGGTCTACGCATTGCCCAACACAAAATGTCTTCCAGTTTTACTCATTAAGGTTCATGGAAAAGTCTGTTCTTTGTTGCAAAGCAGAAGTCCCTGGCCTGTTTGAAATCTCTGATCGATGAAGGTAGATTATTCCCCTAGTTTGAGATTTTGGAAATAGAATGCAAATGGCTTCTCTAAAAGTCTATTGAGGTGTGAGATTCTTCTCATGTGACAAGCTAGTTTAGCATTGATTATAAACCAACTTTGTTTTGTCTTACTAAATGTCTGCTCGAATCATCTTCTGATTGTGTTTGGCACACTATTGTTGGTTTGTATGTGAACTGCAGGTTATTGGTTGTTGGGGGAGTGTGAAAGAGCCATGTTTCAGATCAAATTATGCAGTATGTATACATCACCAAAGATGACGAGAAGTTACATGGAGTAGTGGTTGCTCTGATGATTTTAGTAGCTGAAAAAAA